TAGGGATAGCGAATTCGTATTGTTGCAAAATGTGTGCGAAAACAGTGCTGTAGTGACCTATATTCGAGAAATTAACCTACGGCAATGGTTTAATAATTGTAGGTACTGGGGAGGCGGACCATATTTTAATTCAGAGTTTAAAAAAAAAATCGTTGCGTACTCCACATCACTCCGCGATACTCGTCAAATTTAAAATTTTATTTTATTACGAAACAACCCGTGCATATTATATTTTTTAATTATAAAAACATATTATTATTAAAAAAAAAAACAACAACAACAACAACCCGACATCTCGTAAACAACTCTTCATTAAGTGCCGTTGAAACAGTGCTAAAAATACGTATACATACAGACGTGTACACAAATATACGGATAAACTCACTACCCATATGTATGCGTGTAATTGTAATAAATATATATATATATTTATTAATGTTTTGTGACCACGAGTAGGTAGAAATAATTTATTTACACATTGTGTGTGTGTTTTCTCTCTCTCTCTTTTTTTTTTTTTTATTATTGCGCTTCGTCTGAACGAGCAAACTACAGTGAGCTGCATGAAATATAAATTTCCAGCAGTATGTATAGGTTCGAACGCCGCAACAGGAACTGAGAGATGATGAGTTATTTTAATTTATTTTCACGAATCGAACGACCCCCCCCCCCCGATGTTGGCCGGTCCGCTTGTATTGTTATACACAGTAAAGTGTCGAAATGAAAAAAAAAACTTCGCCCCCGACAGCCGGACCCCCGCGGGGGTGTTTTTGTTTCGTTACAAGGTTATAAAGTTACACGGGCATTTGGATCGGATAAAAACGTACATTTCGCTGGACCGAAAATACCTTTAACGCGAAACCGTACAAAGTACATATCTATCGACCGTGTAATAATAATAATAATAATAATAATAACATGGTAAAACGCGTTTTATTGTACGCGGTCGAGGGCCGGATATGCGAGTCATTTGTGTTCGAATTTATGTAGAAAAAATATTTTTTTTCGTGGAAACGGTTCGACGGTTCAAAGTGGTACCGATTTATGCCTATCCTGTGTTGTAGATACGTATTGTCGTTGTGCGGGTTGTAAAACGACAGTAGGTAATATTTTGCAGTGGTGGAATCGGTGAAAAAGTCTCGGTCGGAATTGTAGATTTTGAGGCCCATTTATGATTCGAAAATTTTCGATTGACCTTAAGGTTTTTTATCATCACGTCAGCTAGGGAGTGACCGACCGACCGACTGACCGCTAATTCGGCCATCGTTGATAATATTATGCGCTATCCGGTAGTCTGCCTTGGTCCCAGTAATGGAGTATGGTGCGATTATAAAGATATTATTACGGTATATAAAATAAGGTATGTATAGGTACATGCGGAGCCATTAGTGTTCGGAGCTTGTTATTTTACTAGACGTATATTTTGATAACGCGAGGAAACTTTCCTATTATTACGACTGCGTAATACTCATTAACCGAATTCCATTACGAATAATTATTTATACCAGCGTTTCTTAAACTTTTTATCAGCGGAACTCTTTTTTATGTGCATAATTCACAGTGGAACCCCAACTTTTTTTTGTTGGCTTTTTTGTATTGAACTCTTAACAATAAGTTATTACAGCTCGATAATTATAACCACTGCTGTTGTTTCAATACTTTCAATGCGTTATTTTATGTGAGAATTATTTACCTACAGTAAAAGTTATAGTAATGTGTCAACATTTTAAATTTTAAATTTTGAAAAAAACCACAAGTTTCGCGGAGCCCTGAAGTGACGTCCACGGAACCCAGGGGTTCCACGGAACACATTTTAAGAAATTCTGATTTATACTTTTACATTTGAATCATAAATCTCAATATATATTATATTATAATTTTTAGAATACGAATAACAATAATTATTACGTAAATATTGAACATTGTATGTGTTAAACGACGAGATTCGACGCATAAAATAATCGAGACAACTTTCTAGTCGGATATCGCATTGTACATAATATTACAACACAAAACGCGATAAGCCGTTATGTCAAGACCTCAGCTTTTAGTTTCAAATAATTAGAAATGGCATAATTAGAAATTAAGTATAATATATTATTGTTTAATGCACAAGTAATAAATATTATCAATCATAATCATTATTAATAATAAAAAATCATTCATTATACAGTCCGCTGGTATTTTTTCATTTTTTAATTTAAATTATAAACTAAGCCGAAACAATTATTATTGTACAGGGTAATTCACCAATCAACCATGGTCATCCCAATTTTTTCTTTTGATAAATAATCTTCATAAATTATTCTGATTTTAGAAATTTACAATTGGTACCTCTGCACAAAGACCTTATTTTCAATTGCTTTAATATCGTATCATTTAAGGAGTAGTATTTTTAGTTACTTTTAGGACTATATATTATCTTCTCGGTACGTATCCACATAATATTTTACATTTTAATAACTCAAAAACTACTAGTTCGACTCTCCATTTAGATACATCAAAGTATTCAAAAGAATCGTCTGTTTCACGGTTTTCAGTAAATTGAGGTTGTAAAAAACAAGTTTGAATACGTCACGGGAGTACAAAGTACGCATATACACTCTGAAATCGTTGGAATACAATCCTTAATTGCAGATGTGAAAAGCCCAAGTATTCCAAAATAATATGGTCCTTAATCAACTGTCTCTGTACAGTTAAAAGTATTCTGAATTTGAAAAAAAAACAATTATTATCAAAAGGAAAAAAAAGCGGGGGTACTTGCGGGTGAATAAACCCCGCATGTATAATATGCATTATAATATTTTAAACGTTTCGTTTTCACGCACGACAAACTGTTCGTGGGTGACGGTCGGGGGGTTTTTTTTATCCGTCACAATATGCTTGGCGGGGTATCAATTATATTTTATTAACAGCTGTCGTCCCGGTACAAAACGTATACTATTTTAATATAATATATATAATATGACGATGTGATAATCGAATGATTTATCGACGCGGCGGCGGCGGCGGCGATGCCGAAGAGTGCGACAAACTCCACGGGGTCGAGTGAGCGGCGGCGGCGGCGGGTGGGGTGGTCCGCTGTGGCGGCGAGGCGTTTCGATAACTATACGTTACACTGACGGACGGTGTATTAAATATGAATGGCGACATCGGGACGGGTCCCGTCGGTTTTTAAATCAATTATTGACCGTCCCCGGTGGCAGTTAATTTAAAACACCCGAAGTAGTATGGCCGATCGGTCAGGATTACTACGTTTCCTCGGTATCGAGTTTTTTTTTTCTTTCCCACCGATATAATAATATATATATATATATAATGTATGTCATGGGTTCGACGTCGCGGGCATCGGCTGCGACGTTTTTGTCGAAAAACTTTGGAAACGAAAGAAAGTCGAAACGTTTGAAGGTCCGCACCGAAAATCACGCGACCTAGGCAGCGGCTCCCGGGAACTTGTTAAGTTGATTGCTTCGAACGGGTATCCTTTTTTCCTTCTATTTACCTCGGTTTTTTCTTCTCTCGTCCCGGCACCAAAAAAATGCAGCCACCAACCTATATATATATATGACTTATAGAAATTTAGCTCGTTATTTAATATATATATATATATATATAGAGAGAGAGAGATTCGGGTAGGTATATTATGCGAAGGTTCGAAACTTTTGTCATCGCAAAAATATCGTAAACATTATTTTTCCTCCCGAAATAATATTTAATAACGTGCCGGTTTTAGTATACTTATTGTCACGTTTTTTAATAATGATTTTTTCCCCGTCATATATATATTGTTACTAGTTATCTCTATCCAACATATTTATAGTGATTTTCATCGTATACTGAATTCATATTATTATTAAAACAAAATACCATGTATATCTGATTTTTTTTTTTTAATTTAAAACTCCTCGAACATTTTGGTATTCAAAATTAATTATATATTTTGTTAGCGACAGCATATTCAGTAATTATTTTTATCGTCAATTTATTATGTTCGTTCGTCATCGTCAAAAAAATTGAACAGTTAACGAAATATTGGGTGTTTTGGTCGTCCACATTATTATCTAGTAGATATGGCCCGAAAAACACCATAATACTTAAGTGATTACATTTTTTTGGGGTGATTTGTGAACACGTCTTATAAGCTACACATAAGTCATTTATTTTATTGAGCTATATACATGGTGCAATATTAAGTCTGTTTTTCCGAGTGTTAAAGGTATTTATAAGAGTATCGCTGTGTCTTTTGTTTGTTTTAAGTGTACAAAAGTGCTCAATAAAATTAATGGAAGTGTTCGAACGGTTGGCGCAGGTTGCTAATGATATTGAAAAGCTTTTTACTGGATCGTTGTTTTAAAAGATCATCAGTAACAAGAATTTGGTGGAGAAACCAACGTTTTTAATTAAAAACTTTTATGTCGGAATTACCGGAAACGCTTTTATACCGAATTTCGGGATTACTTGTCTATAGGCTGCACCTGGTATACCGTGACATCGAATTATATTGGTTTAGGGAATCAATCAATTAATTACCTAACTCTCAATTGCCGAGGCCGAAAATACTACTCTGTAAATTAAAGTTTCGCCTAAGGAAAGGAATAGGAGGCGGAGGAACAACGGTTCAAAAAAAAAAACAACAATAATATTGATGAGTTAATTTAAGTTTCTTGTTTTTTTTTTTTTTTTTTTTTGCGTTAATTAACTTCATACAATTACTGGTTTTTAGTGTTTTTCGATTTCAACCTTACAGTCATATCCGTTTTAGTTATTTTAGTTTGGTTTTTCTGGTACTATAACTGCATGCATAAACATATATAACAGTTATTAATATTGAATGGATATGGACATTTTAAATGATACGTTATACCCTTTTTCTAAAAGTTGGAAAAAATATATATTTATAATTCATACGAGTGATGTCATAACAATACGATAGTTATGCCTCTGACAATAAATTTAAAAAAATAAATAAATAACCACATAATTTTAACGACTGTGCGTCGCAGAGATGGCGGACCTGGCGGTGAACACCGACGAACTGACGAGATCGGCGTACCTGGAGGACAGACAGATGTACTTCTTGCAGTGCGCCATGGAGGAGAACTGTCTGGCGTCGTCTGCGTACCAGCTCCGGCGGGACGAGACCGATTGGCACCTGATCACCCGGCGGCTGCTGCGGTTCACCGCGAAAATCACAAACGTCGGCACCTCCCCGTTCCGGCCTGCCGTGCCCAAACATCTGTGGCAGTTTCATCAGTGTCACATGTAAGTGTATGCCAGACGGGCGCCATGAATAAACATGACGAACCGAAATAATATGGCGACAATAATATGTACGATAAATTTATGGTTATTGAAACGTGGAAAATATTATGCAAATGATATTATGTGAGTCGCCGCCGACGGGTTTCGCGTGTTGTGACGTGTACGCACGTTTCGAGCACGCCATGGTCTGCAGGTTTACGACGACGTTAATCATGGTCATGAATTTTGCGGGAATTTCGACGAATTATTAGAGTTCAGAATTTTTAAGCAGACACGCACACTGCAGTGTCGTTATTGGTGGCTGCTCTGCGACCGTATTCTTCATAAAATACCTTCTGTCGGGCACAGATTTTGCAGGGAGTTTTAAAAAACGCACCATGCAGCGTTACACATTTCGCAATGTTCATCGATATTGTGTCCAATCGATTTCGTGACTGACGATAATCGAAATTCGGACGACTGTCACATTAATTGAGAGAAAACATAGATATGGTTTTACCATTGAGGCGCAGTTTTGTTCCATTCTTTTCGCGGTATAGGTACATAATGTCGTGGGTAATATTAAAACATGCAAATGCCATATAAGCCGCCGTCACTGCATTTTGCGTGTTATGCGTTTATGACGTGTGCGCGGGACAACGTTTTGAGCACTCTCGTCTAAAATTATGCGTCTCTTGGAATTTTGATGCTTTAGAAATTTAGAATTTTCGACTAGACAAGCATATCATAACGGTGGTCAGTAGATGACTGTAATATATTCTGAAATACCTAAAATCTAAGATTTAGGACAGCGTTTAATAACTGGCCATCGTGTTACACGTTTTGCAGTTTAAATAAATTGTGTTCGATGGATTTTGAGACAAACGGAAATCGAAATTCGAACGAATGCATAACATTTAAGAGATATTATCGATTTGGTTTTATCATTGAGGCGCAATTTTTTTTTCATTATTTTCACAGTGCATTAAACTGCGGGTAATTATGACTTGTAAATACTATAAGTCTTCGGCAAGGCTTTTTGCTTGTTCAGTGTAGACGCACCGACATATCGAGCTCGATCGCCTAGTTTTTGACGCTAAATGATACGTTTTTTGGAATTTTGAAGTTTTAGAATTTTTGAGTAGCCCCCTATGGGTGCACTCAACGACCATACTCTCAAATACCTCCTGTTGTAGAATTTGTAGGGAGCTTTAAAAATGCACGGTGCAGTTATACATTTTGTGGTATAAACAATAATTTGTGTCCTGCGATATTGATTTCGAGATTCCATTTAGGAGAAAATACCGATTTCCTCATTTGTTTCGTTCTTTTGGCGTTTTATTCGATTCCGACGGCCGAACGGGTAATCGATACTTAAATCTGCAGAATATGTTTTGTTGGAGACATTTCGCGTACCATTTTTTTTCGTAAGTAATATAAAAATGTAATTTATTTTTTCTGTACGATTTATTTACTTGTTCGTTACGCGACCGTCGAGTTTTGATTTAAAATCAGTGACCAGCGCTGGTTTTAGTATATTTTCTAAGGCGAGATGAAAATAAAAAAAATAAAAATGTGTGTGATTAATGACGTTTTAAACTAGGCCATCGCCCGTTGGTGGTCGGGTGCGAGTCTGACCTGTGAAATATTACGTTCAATCCGTTACGACCCAGACCAATAGGCAGTTGTACATGCAGTTGGAAGGGAAAAAAATGTGATTCGATATAAATTTGCTTAGCGATGTCTGAATTTCAAATTTAAAAATGGCTAGTTCGGATTTTCGCCAGTCGCATTCAACATTTCGGATAATTTGTCAATGGCCTAGTACGTTATGACGTAATACTTTTTCTATATTTTTCATTAAAAAAAATGTCACAGCTAGCTGAATATTTTTAAGACCACATTTTAAAGCTTTTTTTTGTCCAAACACAGTATTACTGATCTATATTATGTTATAACGCTTGTTGTATTTTGATTAAACTTTAGAGGATTGACAGTCATCGCGCATGATATATTTATTTTTAATTTTTTAATTTAATTTAATTTTATTTATTTATTTATAATTCAATGGGACCGACACTTGAATGTGGAACGTATGAGTAAATTAGTAGAATGGAACTCTAAACACAGAAAAACATGTACAAAACTAAACTGATTAAAAATAAAGGATAGAGAGCAATTAACAAATGAACATAGAGAAAAAAATAAAAAACACAAATAGGACAATAAAATGACATATAAAATGCTAAAGAAAATATTGGTTGACTAATTAATATAATAATAATTTATTTTTTTTAAATATGATTGACTAAAATCTAAAGATTTGTATCAGAAAAATCCATAGCCATAGGTTTCAGAGCTCTAGTAAAGTCATTACCGGTTTTACACTTAAATAATATTTTAGAGCTTTTTGTGTCGAAACGTTTTCAATTTCGCTGGTACCCGAGGCAAACTTTATTGCGATATATAGTGGTATTTAAATCCCGATCGATGTATAAATCGAAAAATTCTCACTCGTGTAATACATTTCTGGACGGACGGTAAGCTGCCTTTGTGCAAATGCAATATTGCAGCAGCCCAGCTTTCATCTTAAGAGGCGCGTAGGTACAAAACACTGACTTACGATATTTGTCGAGCTTTCGATTGACTCCGATCGAAGGTTGTTCGGTACCGTAGCCTTTTTCCCGGGAACGGCAATAACATTTAATACTGAAAAGGAAAAAAAAAGGTCACGACGATATTATTATTATACTTTTGCGCGCCGAATTATCGATGTACTATACGGGTGACCTAGTTTTCTAGTTACTACACATAGCCTTTAATAATTATTTTTAAAAGAGTATCAAAATTGTTTTTGAAATGCCTGATACCTCGATGGTATTCAGAACGTTTTCGATTGTGAGTTGATTACATTTTTCTATCACATCAGTTGAAACTCGGTACCTATATTATTTGTTTATGTTAATGTTTTTTCACGAAATTTCCATAAATTAAGAATGTATAAACGAGTTGTAATCATCGTTTAATTTCTTTTTATATTCTTACCTTTTTAAATTTTTGTCTTTGAGATTGTTTTATTTGATTTGAAATTTCGGTTGATCAAAGATTACGATACGAAATAATTTACATTGCAAACGTTTCACTCTCTCTCACTCACTTTCACTATCTCTCGCTCCCTCTCTCTCTCTCTCTCTCTCTATTTCTTCCTTGATATTTCTTTTTTTTTCATTTGTATCATTAAATATTTTGCTCGTTTTTGTATACATATTATGTATATTAATTATTTTTTTATTTTGAAATAAATATTCTTTTAGGAAAATTATTTTAATTTAAAAACAAATACATTGTTATTAGTTTTATATTAAGTTTTGAAAATTTGATAGGTATGACGCATAAATATAATTGAAGTACATTTGAAATATAAATTCATTGTTCAATTACTACAGAAAAATATAATGTACACGAATTTAAATAATTTATCTGGAGTACGTACTTGACGTGCTTTAATTTTATTTTTTGATATTTATTATGAAAGACGTAGAAATAAAATTACATTTCATCGATAAATTGAAGAAGTAGAAAATTTCAAAAAATATGAAATAATATAGCAAAGTGCTGTACAAGAAGCAGGTAAAAATAATGATGAAAATAAAAACTACACTTATTATAAAAGTTGAAATGTCAATGAAAAAATATGAATTAATGACTGCAGTATATTAGAGAGAATCTAAAATGAAGATAAGTCTTAATTGCGTTATATTATTATAGCAGAAAAGCAATAGTCTCACAGAGAAAAATTAGACTGTTTAGCAAAACTTCCGAATAGAATTTAATAGATTTTTGTATAATTGAAAAAATACGTAAAATGTATAATTCCATTTTCACCCTATATTATATTCAAATGAAAAAAGTTTTAATTGAAAAACATTTTAATATTACCATTATAATTGTTTTAATCGTACAACGTAAAAGTTGTAGTTTTTACAACTGTGCAATAAAACGATAAATTAAAAAAACGAATATGTTTTATTAACAGTTATTGTTTCCGAGAAAATTAAAGTTTAAAACGTTTCAGAATAATATGATAGCCCGCGGCGGGCAGACAAATGCGAATTTACAGCATTTTAGCTGCCGCGCGTTGTAGGCCACAGTTGCAACGATTAATATTGTGATTATGACATTATCGTCACTATTTTAAGTGCGTCGTCGACTCTGGCAGTGTCGGATATGAAATTAAATTTCAAAAAAAAAAGTATAGGCTTATAATATTATAAAGCTGTACAGTCGAGGGCATCCGAGTAGATGTTTAACGTGTCCGTTTCGCAGTCAGGTACCGCGAAAAGCGGACGTTATTGATTTTCGGCGGCATCGGAAAAACGAATGGCGCCAAGATCAAAGACCACGTCGTCGTCCTCGGCTGCTCTGCACATATCCATATAATAGGTAAGTACGAACACCCGCGACAGGCATATTACACGTTTCGACGGATCCGTGTCCAGAGATGAAAACATAATCCCTGCCGGCGAGCTGCGGGTCTATTTTCGTTTGTTGGTGGCCGAGCCCCAAATCGGAGGGACGCCAAAACGATAGTTTGGCAAATATTTTTGCTGGCCGTCGGGATTTCGGACGGGAGACGGTGGCTCGCCGACGGGAAAACGGCAAAATAATATTATCGTTATAGTAGGTAATAACTGTAAAGAACAGAAAGCGTTCGGACTCGTTATGTTTAATGACAATGCCGATGGTAATAATAACGATAATAATGATAAAAAACCAAACGGATTTCTGTCACGTCCGCGTAATAATAATACCGCGTAATACCCGCCTTATATAAATTGTGCTGCAGTGCCGTCCGCTTTCAGTCCCAGTGTGCATTATAGGGCAGTATAAATACGGGGTGTACGAGAGAGGACCGACGAATGTAATTAACCGACAGGGTAAAAAGTTTTGTTTTCGTTATAAATATTTAAAATGTTTTTTTTTTTTTTTTTGTTTTAATACGATTACTATAATATGATAATCGTAATAATTTTACTAACAATAACAAGTTGTAAAAAACACCGATCACAACAAAAATATAATGCGCATATTATAAGTTAATAATATTAGTTAGTTAGCTGTCTGTCACGCCATATATCATATAATATTATATATTTCTATGTCCGTGTGTGTGTGTATGCGATGTTCACCCACTCACCTATACAAAATTGTATTATACGCCGTGTCTTACATACAGGACGATCAACCGAACAATTTATTTGAATTCTGAATTTTATAAGCATACCTGGGATGCATACCTTTTAGATATTCTGAGGTACATTTTGGCATGCCTCTTAGGCACACAAAGATCTTATTTTAAAACATATTTATATTTTTTAAGCCATTCAAAGAGTATCCTGTGGCGTTACAAACACTTCTTTTTTCCAAATGAAAACCACCTTTTTTTGTTTAAATTGATAATCGACTGATGACGTATTTGAAAATTTCCATGCATAAAAATTATAAAACTATGCATAGGTACCTAGTCCTATTAAGGATGATAATTACAGTTATTTTAACGTTTTTACACTCAATATAAAATATATGTAATATGCAGAACAGTACTTATTATAATCGGAACATTTTTACAAATCATACAATTTAAATAAATTTATAACGATAACTATAATTGTTTAGATAATAATAATAAAGCTGTTACAATTGACTGTTATCTATTAAGTACTTAAAGTTTGTCAACTCGGAAACTTCACGTTCGAATTTCGATTGTTATAAACATAATAACACTTTTCCAAATAAAACTAATCTGCTGAAAAATGAGTTGAAAAAAATAAGTTTATATCGCGACAGAACACTCTTTAAACCGTCCAAACATATACAAAGTCTAAGTTTTTGGACTTATATGGGCGCTTGTGCACACCGGCTATACTATTGAGATGTCCAAAGTCTAGAATTTGAATATGTTATTGGCATGGGAAAAATTGCGGGCTAGTACGTAGTCTGGTGACCATCCTGTATAGTGCGCGATTGATTTCCGTCGGCGGCGGCACGGTTGATTCGGTTTTACGACGACGTTCACCACAACGTCCAGAATTTACGATACCAATAATACAATATAACGACAGCACTAATAAATTGTTATGTTTATTGTCGTTGCGGTTTTCCATCGGAAAATGAGGTCGATCGGGCCACCGCAGTGGTTCGCGTTTTCCGAGTGCGGCCACCGGAACATTAGTGCGTACGCCGTGTAATATCCAGCTAAAAGATCAGACGCCATCAAATCGTTTTATACATCCAACCCCACGATGTTGATACCACATACCATGTTGTAGGTACACAACGTTATGATATAAAGCCGAGTGTACCATGCGAGAACGTGTACAATTTACCACGAGAAATCATGATGCGCCTTCGTGTAATAATTATTGTTCGAAATAATCGATCGTTATCGATGAGTTAGAACTTTGCCGGTTTTCCGATAGAGCGATAACGAGTTCTGTGATAGTATTTGTTTGAATTATTTCGATTCGATTGAAGTGCATCATCGAATTGTGACCACACTAACCGCTGCAACGTTGGTCGGGGAAAGATATTGTTTGGAAGTAGGTATATCCATATATTTTCCTGGTGCGGGAAATACGATTTTCCGAGAATTTCCAACACCGAAAGGGCTTTTCTCCTGAGACATAGAGTGGTAGAGCGCTCTCTTTTGTGCAACAACCAACCTATCCTTACGTAGTGTAAGCTCCGAGGACATTTTCACATCGTGGAAATGTAAAATATTTAATATCCTACCACTATAATAATTACATTATACCCAATAATATTGTTGACAAAATAATAAAATATAAAAATACACAAACACATGGGATATTAATTATAAGTACAACTATTAACGGTATACACAGTAGAAATCAGTTTTATTGAAAACGGCTGCAATGACAACTTTTTAAATCCGAAGTTTTTTTTGTTTTTTGAATTTTTTACTGACTTGTGACTTGAACGTATTCGCTCTGCGCATGTGGACTACAATACAATATTCGATTTAGAAAAAAACCTACGCAACACTACTTGTGCTTAATAATATTATCACTGTCGCAGGCACTACCACAGCATGGAAGTGTTTGCCACTTTCGACGTGCTGGACGGCGGCGGCATGAAGGTGGCCGAGGGACACAAGGCGTCGTTTTGTCTGGAAGACAATCAGTGCACGGACGGCGCCAGGCCGGCCTTCGCGTGTGCGGACTACGGTGACCAGGGCATATCGGTCAACTGTTCGGACATTTACCGGCACAACATCGACTGTCAGTGGGTTGACGTGACCGATCTGAACCCGGGGCTGTACACACTCAAGGTAAGCTCGAGGGTAACCGTGGTCGGTTATTACGACCTATGTCGCGGTAGCAGTAGACCTCGAGATATCGGTGACCGAACTCGGGGTTGTCGGCGATACACAAAACAATCAGAGTACGAAAAATTGAATAATATATATTGTTTGCGATTATTTTTTTGACGTTTTAAAATGTTTTCAAAACAGAGATGCTCATTAGTTAAGAGGATCGGCGGTGGACAGTTTTTAAGAAGTTCGAAACAGGCAACTTTCAAATTGCTTACACACAGGTCTTGTAAATGTGTGCGGAGTAAGGGATGATTAGTGTGTGTGACTGTGTGTAAAAGAAATAGTGGAGCGCTCCCACCCGCACACGTACAAGTCATCTACTCGGCGTTGCACTAGTGCACTGTAAACGATTTATGATCATTTGTATGCACTTTTTGCCCATCCAACAGATCGACCTAATAATGCCATAATATTTTAGCAAACCGATCTGAATTCGTTATAATGTCCACTTGAAATCGGCCAGTCCACATTATAAGATTTCTGCATTAAATCCCGAATACCCGAAATTTCAAAGTATTCAAACTAAATTCATAGTTGCCGATCTCAAGTAAACATGGTGAAAAAATCAAATCAGTTCTAAAAAGTATTTTCGTATTACTAGGTCGATAAGTATGATGGACAAAAAATTGTCATGTTCTATGTAAAATAACTGGCCGCCATCAATCCCCTTAAATAACCACGCTGTGTTTTAAATAAAATTAAAAGCATAAACGGCAAACAAAAGTATTTGTGTGGCCTGGTGTGGTACAGTATGGGTGTATTCAGTTACGTTCCGTTTTTGATTGCAAGCATCGGCTGGTGTCACTGGTTACCGGATGGGTGTCCAATCGGGGTTTAAGTGACAAGTCCTGTCCATACACACTCAAGTGAACTAATCAATCCTCTTCTGCAGTAATCAGGATGCTACAAACCGCTAATGTTCATAGTTGCCAAGCTCGAGAACAATAAAAAAAAAGTATTTGTATGCGTATTGGATCCATTATTCACTCGGATGGAACTTGATTTTTATTGCTTACAAGCCGATCGCATAAAATATGTATTGGGTGTAATATATAATGACCGTTAAAAATGGCGTGACGAGGACACAAGGTCGAGTTGAAAGGGAGCCCTACGACAGTCGGCTACTACCAGTGAAATGAGTATTGTATTGTAGACCGGCTATACGGTCAAATAACGATAAACTATTATAATAATATGAACATAATATACGGATTATTGATTACCCCAATCGAGTCTCTATTTGTAGAATTTATTTTTAAAATACTTTCGCTATGAAGTCCTTCACTGCGATCATCTCTGTAATATTCAATGTATATAATATCAACGTTTTTGGACAACTCATTTACATAACATAATATTTTCAATGAATTACGCTTTGATATCACAAAATTACTCGTCAAAAACGTCGTCAGTAAACGAAAATTTCTCCCCCACCATCCCAGCATCTGTTCTATTCAATAATATAATATATAATACGATTATATACATCGTCGTCGTCGTCGTCGTCGTCGTCGGAAAACACTTTTGTTTTCGCCAGTCGCCCACCTATATTCACTGTCTGCCGCACACCCGTTCGCCGAGTATACATTATGTTATTGTGTTATTATATTACATGACATGGTCTCCTGCCCGTGACACCGCGCAACCGTATCGAACCAAAAACAATTTAATGTACAACGAGGCCGTATATAACGTCACGGTTTTTTTTTGTTTTTGTCGTTACAGGTGTCAGTCAATCCGGAGCACAAAATCCCGGAGATGACGTACGCCAACAACGCGGCTGTGTGCTCGATGTTCTATTCCGAGACTTTCGTGAAGATCCACGACTGCGTCCTACAAGCCCCGTGACGGACTGTCGAAGTCTCTTGCGTGTTGGTCCGTCGTGCGACGAGTCACCGAAAAGCGTTTATTTGATAAAAAAAAAAAAAAAATAGGTTAGCTTTAGGTTAGCACCATACTATTACGCCGCACATGCATCGACTTCAAATGATTACAATTACACTCATTACATAATATATTATCGCGACTTTATATTGTATATTAACTATTAATCATATTATACCCGTGGGTGGGCCTGCTACAGTTGTAGTCGTGTACATGGTATTATGGATAACCCAGTAACGTGCATTGTGAACTTTTTATTAATGTAAGGTACCCGTACACGTGATATTGTTGTGAATTTGCAATCTAATAAAATTAATTTGGAAAAAAAATTGATTTAAAAGTTTTTGCTTTATATTATATTATATTGACGTCAACAACTAAGAAGAAGAAGACAGAAGTAAAAACTTATGTTGGCTTTTGTAGAACATGATTAGCCAAACTTTTACAACTTCCTGTTATTTGTTAAGTACTCATATTATATTCACCATTTCAATTTCAACAAATTTATCTGACTATCTGTAATATAGTGAGTAGCAAAGTTGCCAGAGTTCATTATGTTAAAATCAAAGACAATACGTCATGTATTATACTCGCGCGTATTGTAATACTATAAAAAAGGGATATTTTTGACGAGTAAAATAATTAACTATTTTGAAAACAACGATCGTGGGTAAAAAAAAAACCCCCCATGTATTCCATTATTTGATAATCGTATTTGTCGTGTAAGTACCTTGGTTGTAAGTCGTTAGCTTCTAATATGTGTACCGACTTTAAATCCAATGAAAACATGCATGACTTAACAGCAACAAAGCCGACCACTCACCGAGGCAGCAATTCTAAGATTAAATATTAGACATTTTCATATGACGTTTCATTGTTCATAAATGGATTTTACGTTTCACATATTATTATTATATTACCTTAGATTAAATGAATGTTATTTATAGAAAGGAAAACGCTGCAGTGTCGTTATAATTATGTGTGTTGATTATTAACCATAATATGTTCTCATTTTTTATGAACTGGAATAGAATATTGATGACGGGAGTAAAAACCCATCGATTTGTGAGTACTATTGCCATTATTTATCATTTGTATAATTTAAAAACATTTAAATTATAAAAGGATGAATAAAAAAAAATGAATAGCACATAATATGTAGAAAAATGATTCATATAAGCAACCCTGGGAATAAGCGAGTTAAAAAGTTAAAGTTAAGTTAAATTTAACTTTTTAAAATTTAATTTTCATAAACTTAATTTTTGACTTCACTGATTTTTAATTGATATTAATATTTAATTAATTAATAAATAACGAGTTACTTTTAATCAAATTCAATTTCGTTCATTGATAAATAATGAAATAACAAATATAACAAAATTATTATTGGTGATATATTGCATAAGCATTTAATTTAGCTGCATATATATTAAAATTAAAATAAATAAATAACTTAGATAAGTTTATAAATTCATTATACGTTTTCAAATAACATTTAATTTGACTGAGTTTAAAAAAAAATTAGGATAACTATTAACTTTAAATTTTTCAAAATGTTTTCTATCGACTTAACTTAACGCAGTTAAAAATTATCATTAACTTGCCCAGGCTTGCATATTAGAATACCTGAATACTTGTAACGTTTAGAAACCAGTGGTGCCCAACACGCGGCAAGCGAAGGTGTTCTATACACGGTCCGTGTCGATTTGCCCAAAAAATGTTGGGTATCACTGTAACACTATAGTTTAAACGTACATATTGTGAATATAACTACTTACCACATACCAATTGTAGTGAATACCATTAAAAATAATGTGATTAATTTATTATAAATGATATCGTTATATTTTTTGGAACGAAGTACAAACATTAAATATAGAAATATATTCCATACAGGTATATTACTTGTCGTTGATTCATTTCATTAGATCGTATTATATTATTAATTATTTTATGACATATAATTATTAATATCGAAAAACAATAACTGAGTCCAATAATGGTGTAGCTAAATTGCCTATCGAAATCGCCGTGTCACCAAAATCATGTAATGTGATATTGAAATGCAGTATAATATTTATGATGTTAATCTACTCCATACTAAATAATAAGGATTCGGCAGCCGGGGACTTGAATGTTTCTTTGTAGAAGTGATGATTGTCTGTAACATAGATTAAACTCGGTGGTTATCGTTTTGAAAATAACATACTAAAAGTATGATAACAAACTGTAATATTATTATGTACACAATGAGTTAAGAATACAAATTTACAAAAAAAAAAAAAAACACCGGAAATCAAGAAGAAACATAGTTTTCGTATTGCCTTTGGTCTTCTGAATAACAACCCCGTTTTCTCGAAAATTTTCCGGCATTTCCATCTTCGATAATAATACTATTTTAACAGCCTCTCAAAATATACGAGTAGAAAGTTTACACGCCGGATATCGTCTTAATGCCGTGTAATATCGAATTTTCGACACAGAAAGAAAACGTTTTCCTGAAAAAATTGTCCCCGTGTATGATATCAACAATAATTATTATACCAGTGTTGACTCATTTCCAAAACGTTCCGGGTATTTCGATATTCGGTTTAATCGATTTTATAGTGTAATTGCGTCGTGGCCAACAGCACGAAAATGGTTCCAATAAACAGCAAATATCAATTAATATATTATTATTATTACTATTATTTACTTTTTATTGTTATTGAACCACAACATAGACCTTATATTAATAGAGAGTTCATGCCTGGCCAGAGGGGTTTGATGGTGCGATGAAGGCAAATTGCATTAAAGTGATGATGTAGTAGGTATTGTAATAAGTCAATATTAACAAAAACGTTGAAATCGGACAAGTATTATTACTACCTACTAATACTTGATACAAGTTTATTCATAATTCGTTAAATCCGTTTGAAATCGTTGTAAGTAATATTCATGAATAATGATAAAATACGATAGTAATATAACATATTTATGCAGCTTTCGTTTTTAATTGCGCACAAACTCGTGTGGTCGACGCACATGCGCAGAAGTACGGGTTACCACGATCAGCGTTACACATGTGCACAACTACCATCATGCTCCGTCTGTTAGTATAAGGTCTATGATCTAAAATAAACTTCGACTCCATGTCAATGGCTACACGACAACACTTCGTAAATCGAAATTGTCAACAAAAAAATTTGTTCTTAGGTGCGCACTATGCATTTTGATAACGTAATACGGAAATATTTTTTCATGTACTTCCTTAAGATAATGCACAAAAATAAAAAATTGTAACTGTCCTATTATTAATATTAATTTAAAAAACAGTTTTTCGCTACTCCTGAAAAATTTGGTAAAATTGACTTAAGAAGTTAAGAGTCACTTACTCGCTTTCACGAAGAGTGATAAGTGACTAGAGTGATCCCAGTGGTTAAAATTTGTAAGAAGTTATTTGAAACAATAAACCAACATATTCCACGAGCCTTTTGTGCTTTTGAACAGAAAACATTTTTTTATTTGTCTTTATCATCATATTTGTTGCAGGATTAAAATAAAATAAAGATTCATTTAATTCATCGTTTTTCAATATTACATAAACAAATCCTCTCCGTAGTACCTAATAATACATTATGAAATAATGAGAACCTCTGTTAACGGGCGAATGAACCACTGGAAGCGCTGCAGTCAACTACCATTTTTCGGGAAAGAGACTATACAGTAACTGTATGTTGCTCAAATTAGTGTTTTTTTCCATCTAATATCGTCAAATACATTCTGTCTTTTCTCTTCAGAATAACAAAATTATATTCTGATCGTTTTTAGGCTCACACACGTAGCAGAAATCTGTGTATCTAAAATGGTTAGGCGTTGAACATTCTTGAAGCTAATGCACTTTGCACTCTAAACCAGTGGTTCTCAACCTGGGGGTCACCAAAAATAAACGAAATGATTTTTCCATTTTATTAAAAAATAAAATAAAATGTTTATTTTGTTCTATATTTATACGATAACGTGTTGAGCAGCGTAATCTTATATTCTTATCGATATAGATTATTAAATTGTTCGTAATCTGTACGGTATAGTCACTATACTATATTAGTAAAATGTATACGTAGGTATATTTGAACAATTTCAAAACTAAATTTTGATGAATAAAACAACATTACTTTTGTTTTGAACTGGGGTCGCAGTACAAAAAAAATAAAAAATTGTGGTCGAGAACCAAAAAAGGTTGAAGATCACTGCTCTAGAACTTTCGTTCGTAGGTCAATATTATTTTCCTATGTATTATCTTTAAATTATATTTATTAAAATACAATAATATTATCGTCGACATTCCGGACAAACAATATTACTGCAACTACACAAACTCAAAGTACGTCAACAGCTGCAGCTGGAGTGGTCGCTTAGCCGGTGCTATTCATTTTGTAGTATAATATACAGTGAGACGAGTAGAGCGGCCATGGAGTCGAACCCAACATATACTTGTGATAGTTGTAAAAAACGTAAATATCTGTATCTGTATCTGTCGACTCCACCCCCCCCCCCCGCTCCGACCAGCAGGACTTTTCCTGGTAAAAGTTATGTTTTTATTTACGAAAGTGTTTTGGTTACGAATCGACTGTTTTCGTTACTCGCACTCGTGTTTTTTAACATTTTATTTTATTTAATCATTATTATTATTGTACATTCATGATGTATTACCCTCTATCTCCAGCTCCAGTTTTTAGCTTAAAATAGATAGATAATACTGTTCACTACGGCTGCTGCTACCTATATCGTAGTGTTGTTTTTTTAAATATAATATGATGATTTTGTTTGTAAAAACAAAAACCATTAATACGAATATGAAACTGTAGTAAAAGTCCAATCGGGTCGCTATTTTAATAGGTATTTATAGTTGTAACTACGATAAAAAAGAGAATTTTGTAGCCCACGTATGCTCGACTCAAACCGGACTTCGGCCGACCAATCGTCGGTCGAACGGAAAAACATTGTAGTCGACCGACGCCTGCGGCAGAAACGAAAAACACTCACCACTCGAAATACGACCGATGCGTACTGATTTAATGCATATATAAATATATATGTAAGACTACCTGGAGGGCGCGTTCCAATTCTCAAAATAATAATATTATGAAACGTTCGATTTGTCCAGAAGCGCGTTTAGGGTTGGGTGGTGAGAATCTCGAATTTCTCCTCCCCCCGCCCACACCCCGGCGAGGCCTTTGTCGAGCCAAACGAGACGGCGGCGCTTTAATAAAACACGACGATGACCGCCGGGCGACGGAGGTGTTGCCAGAAAATCGCGTACGCTGGCGCCGGGTGCGGTCGAGACAAATTGGAAGTATTTCCGAACGAGACTCGACGACGACGACGACGACCATCGAACGGGGAGGCGCATTAACGGGGAGCCGGGGAGGGGCGGGAGTATCCGTTTTTCGGGCCGGAAGTGCGAGTGACGGCTGGCCTGCGCTGTTTATTATATATTATGCGGTCTCCTCGGCGTTCTCCTCATCGCGAATTATTATACCTCCGCCGACGATCGGAGCTAATTTTAAATTATTTTTTAACTGAAATAAATTGGTCCGTACATTACATTATAATATTATTGTGTACGTACAGCACATATATATTATATATATATAGCGTATTTTTATAATAGTGTCTCTCTTCTCTCCTGCAGCAGCGCCTCGACTTAACGACTCATAAATCGTCGCCGTCGAGTCGGAGCTATTATTATTATCATCCGTCCCAAATGAGAACGTTATATCATTTATTATAATGATAATATATAATTTTTTATTCTCTCTCCCTTCCTCTTTTGTTGACGCCCCCTCGCCGTTCCGCAGCGGATTCGACGACGCCGCGAAACGTCAGTCTCCGGGTCCTCGTGCACTATCTGTGCGTATTATTACTGTTACTATAGCTGCGCCTTTTAGCGTTGTGACTTTTTGAGCATTATTGTTTCGTTGGTTTCTTTTTTTTTTTAATTATCATGACCGAAGTCAGACACAACCGACGACACTGGCACGGCGAGAGACGGACAAGTTAAATTTTCTACGTTCTTATATATTATTATGTTTACGCTGGAATCGGCTGAGGATCGAGTGGAAGGGATGGTGAAATGCAAAACACAACAATGGGTATTTGAACAATCGTATTTTACTGGTTCACATCCATCGAAGTCTAAAAAATAAACAACAAATAAATAAAATTACTAACTAAGAATTCGAATCCATTAACACAGACGGAAATCATTGATTCGCACATATGAATAATATTGTATATTAAACATCTATAGAATATATTTTATATTTAATTTTAACTTTAATTTATAGTAATAGTAGTTTTTTGTCTTCTAAAATTTGTTACATTTTCTATTATTTATAAATAATTTTTTTTTATTATTATTAAATAACATGTCTCTACATATAAAATCCCAATAAATATTTAAAATTATATTATATATATATATATATAATATACGACTCTAGACGAAAATAATAATATTAATAATAATAATAATAAAAATAACAACTAATATTTTAACACAAAAACACTATTTACACATTGTACGACTATAATAATATGTTATTATACACTAAAATAAAATTATATAATTTCGCATGTTTGTTATTTAATATTATTGTGGATCGTGCAGACCGGAGTCGTTCGACTGGTACAAACAAAATTTATTTTAGGTTTGTCGTTAAAATTTTATATAAATGTTTAATTTTTATCAACATTACACCTATATAATTCAATATACAATCAGTACAAATAATTTAATCAATATTTTTTTCTAATATTAATTTAGATAATTTTGAGCAGTCTATGAAATTACTTTTTACACATTCGTCGTCTGAATGCTGCAAAACAATAAAAACAAAGTTAGATGGCAAATAGCTTATTCGTTTGAGAATATTCACAGCCTGATTTTTTTTTTAAACAAATATATATATTATAATATATTTTTTTTTCCAAATATTGAAATGTTTGCAACAGAATGAGAGAGATAGAGAAATAGAAAGTGAGAGACAGTGAGTGACAGTATATTATAGTAGAATGGTCTAAGACGGCATATTTGTTTGAAGTTCGAAACGGTGTCTTAATTTTTAATTTTCTTTTTTTTTTTTATGTTAAAAACGTCCACAATAAACAAAGAACCCGTAGAACAAGCGAAACGTAAAAGCTTGGGTCCGGTTGAAATACATAACGCGCAGTGTAACCTAAAAAGTCGAATCTAAAAAAAAAGTATCTCTATACAAATAATAAAAGAGATTTAAAACTGTGAAGATGACAACAAAAATAATAATAATAATAATAATAATAATTAAGAGAGTATAATAATATAAGTAAATAGGGTATAAAAGTATATTGTAATATTATAGTAATAATAATACTAATATTAGTAATATTATTACTAATATTATGACACGTATTATAGTAATAACAGTAATAATAATAATAATAATAATCATCGACGGCTCTCTCGTAAAAGCTTGGGTCCGGTTGAAATACATAACGCGCAGTGTAACCTAAAAAGTCGAATCTAAAAAAAAGTATCTCTATACAAATAATAAAAGATATTTAAAACTGTGAAGATGACAACAAAAATAATAATAATAATAATAATAATAATTAAGAGAGTATAATAATATAAGTAAACAGGGTATAAAAGTATATTGTAATATTATAGTAATAATAATACTAATATTAGTAATATTATTACACGTATTATTGCAATAACAGTAATAATAATAATAATAATAATACTAATTATAATAATGTATGGAATGATGACAATATATTGTGCTGCTGGGAGGACGAAACGAAACGTTGAGAAACTGAACGCATTAAACATAATTGACAAAAACGTTGGCCTTATAACAAAAACCAAACTAAACTAAAGTAATACAAAAATAATTGTTTACCGAAATAAAATATAATTATAATATTTTTATGTAAATGTTAAATAATTGTTCAGAATGATAGGATACCGTGTTTCGGAGAACGGCTAATAACGAGGTATAAATATTGTGTTTATCTTTATGGTATTTTTTTTTTTTATTATTATTATTGTCGTCCCTTGAAAAAATAAAATATAATAAAATAAAAACTACAAAGAAAACGAAAACGTTTGATCCAAAAGGAAAAAAAAATAAATTTAAAAAAAAAAAAAAACACTACTAACAGAATAATATATTATTATGTAATTATTTTATCGATAACGTTATTATTATTAAATTTTTTTTTTTTGATTTGTTGATGAGAAGTGAAATGACGAAAAACCACGATTACCTCTATTTTACATCGTAATCCGTAGAATATATTATAATATTAAGACAGTATATTATGTTTATATGTGTACCCGCTATACCTCAAACTACTATTATACCACATCTATATAGTACAATATTTATATTATTATAATATTGAACGAGTGAAAATCTTCAATAACTTGAAATAAAAAATACGTTAGAATGTGTATGTAATATATATATTATTGCGTACAGTACTGTACACAATAATATACTATATTTTATATTTTAGTAAAGATTCAAAAGACGTGTGCTAATGCTTCACTTGCTCTATAAATTTGTAATTTCACAATAATTAACAATATATATTATTTTACTTCGATTTCATTTTAAAAACTGCTGAAAATCTAACTCGACGTTTATAAATGTTATACAATAACAACAACAACAATAATAATAATATTTTAAATTCTAATATTTATAATATAATATATATATTTATAAATACATGTGCATACGTCACGTGCGCACACATATTTTTGTATCATAATATAATAATAATGTTCTATATAATAATAATAATAATAATAATAATAATAATAATATATTATTTTAAATGGGTTTGAATCACAATATTTTTTCTTTTCTTTTTTTTTTGAAAATTTACGCTGTTTTAGGTTTCTTATGGTTTTTAAAATTTTTTTTTGTTTTTTTTTTTGCAATTAGGTTATCTTATGTATTGTTCCGCATTGTTTTTGAACACATCTCATTGGAGACTGCACTTGCTCTCGATTTGAGACTTGAGTTCGTTCACTTGTGTCTCGATGGTATTCTTCAACTCTGTGAACAAAAACGAAAAACATCCAAACAACGGTGGTATAGTCATTAGAATAATAATGAAATACAAAAAAAACAAAACAAAAACACACGCCACATTCATCCTCGGGTGAGTGGTGGTATGGTATTAAATTTGCGCTTCGGATATAATAATAATAATAATAATAATGACTTAATCCTCCGGTCGGTTTGTAGTACGCTATGGCCAAAAGTTTTCGGTACATACCACCGCACTAGAAAATAATATGCGCCCGTAAGCTTCCATTCCGAAACTTTCTTATCTCTCTTATCGGTTTTAAACTCCTCTCCTCAGTGTTTTCATTCAAGTGTCATTTATGCATTATTATATACTTCTCGGAAATATTATTATTATTCGTTTACTTGTAATAATAATAACATAACATAATATATCGACTGGTCGGGGGGTCGGGGATGGGAATTATTATTTTTCCTTTGCATAGGGCGGAGCGTATAATATCGCTCTCTGTTGTTGCGCTCAGAATTTCGAGAAAAATATAAATATCGTTTTAACGCGACTGCACAACAGTCTCCTCCGGCGGTGTCTCTGAAATCTGTGATTTAATCGAAAACCGTCGAATTTTTTCCTACGGTAAGTTCGTTTTGGAAATGCTAAGTGTCGTTACGTGCGCTGTCCCGGAATGCGGAAAAAATACGATATTGTCTTCGCCCTGTGTCGACATCGGTTGTATCGATTCATTAAATCCCTGCCGACATTAGTAAAAAATATTATGCTGTACAGTGCGACCGAAAATCCGATCACACAATACCCACGGTTAGTACTAAGACGACGTAAACCAATTTGTCGACTTTAACGTCCGTTTCCGACAAAACAACACTGTAGTAATGCACATAATAATAATAATAGCCGCACATAAAAGCCATGTAAATAGGCCATTATTGTCCGCTTGCTACTATACAACTAATGTTATTTTATTATTATTCATTTCGTATTTTAGTAATTTTGTCTTCGCAATATGCATGAGAATTTAAATATCCCCGGGTCCTTGTATTCTAGTTCAAGCGCATGCGCGACCGACTGGTTTATTATAGTACGATTCTAGCCCTGTTTGCCACCTTCCGTTGCAGAGCTGCAGGTTCTTACGGATTAGTAGTTTAATCATGGTTCAAAGTTTATTGCATATATACCCCTTCCCAATCAAATATTTGATGATAAAAGCAAAAATTGCAGCGTCAAGGGAGACAATAACAATCAAGTATATTCGGTCGGAAATTTCGAAGGTTAGGTTAGGTTTCACCAGCGTATTTTTCACGATAAGAACAATCTATATTTTTTATATCCCTTTACGCAGCCATTTTGTTACTGATGAGTACAATTCGAATCTATATGCAATAACCTGTATATAACATAAACCCCGAGCTTGTTCTTATTCGGTTCCAGTGCGTATCGTATACACACTGCAGCGAGACGCACGTTGTACCGCGTTAATGGTATACAAACCGAGTCTGATAAATCGAATTTAAATGAAGACGAGAGGAATGCAGTAATGGAGGAAAAAATAATCGATCCTCGGGCGTTCAGGCAACGCCAATCATTAAATTACTATTCTCCATTCGCCGCCGAGTAGCCGTATAAACATTGTTATTTCTAAACTGTGCGAAACTAGATTGATTCTGTGGGCGTCGGATCGAAAGGGTGAAAAAAATTTCGAGTTCGTTTCGGGCATTTAATTTGCGTTTAAAATCTAATTGGAAATATTAATCAGCCGATCCGGTTTGTGAACGCCTCAATGGATCCGTGTTCATTCCGTCATTCTGTGTATAAATGGGATTTCATCGAGATTAATAATATGTTTATTCAACTAATACGTATCGATTTTAATATATTACGCTTACAATACATCTGCTCTCTCGTTTCGGTTTAGCTCCCGGAACGGATAATACGATATATTATAATGTATTGTAGTGGGTGCATTGAATTTCGAAAATCATTCTCGAACTTGTTATTGATCACAAAATAATCAGTCATGAAACACGATGAGTAATTGTAGCCCTCTATCTACGAAAATGTCTATGAAAATTCATTAAAGATTAAAAAATGTTGTATTAATTGTAATATTATATTGAAATTGTCCTATAATATCAACTGCAAATACCACTAAATGAGTTGTCATTGTAAATAACTGTCCTATTCATCCGTTCCAAGATGAATGATGATTATAGGTGAATGATGAGCGGCGGTAGGGCGGTGTCCGGGGACAGCAAATATACTCATATCATTATGACTTAAATAAATTTCGAATTTTATATTATTATGAAATACCGGTATAAGGAAATATATGAACTTAAAATTTCGGTGTTAAATTTCGGATTTCGGGTATTAAACTGTTTTTTTTTTTGTGAGGGAAAATTTGTACTGGAAAAATCGTCCTCGCGGAATAAGAGCGGTCAAAATTCGTGCGTAAGAGATAAAACGAAACGACGTAATACCTGGTAAGTGGTATGGCAGACCATCCTGGAGCACTGTCTATATTGCATTATAAGTAATGTGATTCCGGGTAAATCGTAAAACCCAAAGGATCAAACTAGGCAAACACGGTGAAATATTATACGAAAACGGTATTTCTAAATTTTAACTCTACTCGATAAAAGAGAGAGAGAGAAAGAGAGCGACTGCCTTTTAATAAAATGCTTTTATACAAACGAGGAATTCATAGGGCTCGGACGACGTGTGCATAATAATATAATAGTGATAACAATCATAGCAATAATACATCAAACCATCTCCTCGGAGTGCGGGGAATGATCGTCGTGGTGATGTGTATAAACGCCTCGATAATGTTTTATTTATATATACGCTCCGAAAACGGTGGCCACGGACAACAATGATCATCATTGCTATCCGACGAAAGTGTTCTAAATGTCAGTTTAATACTGATGAGAAGACCGTAATATACTGCTGTCTATCCGGCGAGGTCTAAACGTGGACGGGAGAGCGATTTTTTCTCGGACGACTGAACGATAACCAGTGTTCTTTTAAACATTACGCGCACCTAACTGTATAACAAATATGTGTGTGTGTGTGTTTATATTGTGAAGCCAACGCCGCCGCCGGACTGCGATGAATAAAACAAAAGTGGCAATAAACTTCGGCCAAATAAATCACGGTAAAAGAGTGTTGGTGCGAAAGAAAAGTTGTCAACTATTATTTCCTGTCTAAAGAAAAAAAAAACCATTTTGTTATTGAAGGAAAGTATTGCGAGCTTTTCGAATTTACGACACTAGAATTTTTTACGTTTTTTATTTCGCATTTTATTTTCGTTTCTATTTCCTATACGATAATATAGGTAATGGTCATCTGTATACCCATCGACGTTACAAAAAAAAAATTTACTGTTTACGAAATTGATTCTTACGATTTCGAAATGACAGTGACGGTCGTTGTAGTAGTTTTTTTATTATTTATTTCGGTATCCCGTTTTCTAAACACCGCCTTTTTTACGAAAAAAATACAACCATTTCTTTTTTTATGTTATTTCGGAGGAGAATAAACAACACCGACCCCACTTGGCCCCGAAGTGGTCACGGCCAACATTCAGTGCAATATCTTTTTCTTTCGTCGAGTGAATTCCAAATAATGTGCACACACACACACACACACATACACTTATTGTTGTGTACGTGTAAGCATATACATATATAGATATACAATATATTACAAACGTTAGTTTTACTTAACGGCCGTCGTCTGTGATAAATGCATTTCGGTGTAGTCATGGACGAGCAAACTCGGCGGCGAGACTCGGGTTACTAATAAAATAACCGGAGGACGTTTTAGAGGGTTTCGGGTTTTTCGATTCGAGTACATAACATAATGCATATACACCCACCACCCACACGCGTATGTTTAGTGTGCATTTGCGTCCAACAGTGAAACAGAAAAAATGGACAACATGTAAATGTATATTATAATACTGTATATTATCGCGTTTATCCTTACTCGTAAATTCGTCCTCTTCTTCCATTTCTGCCTCTTTGGCCAACTCTTCGGGCGTTTTCTTTTTGCGCATCAACGGATTGGCGGGCTCCTCTTGTACCGGTTCGGGTAATTCTTCTTTCTTCTTGATGTTGTACTGCGTCCGAGAAAAACAAACGAAACATAACACAATTATTATTATTATTTTATAACCCCATGGCGGTTGACATATATTTCTACATTTACAATTTATTTTAACTGTTAACGTATAATAATAATAATAATAATAATAATACAAATATCATATACGAGGTCGTATTCAGAACCGATTTTCGGGAAGGGGGAACACCACACCACAGGTATCACACAGACGCTCGGATATTGAAATATCTAATATTAAAATAGTTGATAACCTACACGATGAGTCCCAATCAGCAGCATATTATGTAACAATGCGTAGGTGCAACTGTTATCAGTTCATTATTCAAACACTTATTAGTAAACGGTAAAATTAATAAAGTTCAATAATGATTTGAGTCTGCGATGAATGTTCTTGCATAGCTGCAATAATGAATATAACTGCGTCGTCCTGACTTAAATTATTATCCCGCGTGGCTATCTTTGTATATATATTATGCATTGCAGGAGGAGATTATCAAATTTTTCCGCGATCGGTTTGGTAAACATTATTTTTTTTATTATTTATATGTATATAATTTATTTCTTTTTTTTCTTTTACGTACGTTTAATTAATGATTAATTGCCCATTTCAGAGGCGCGCTGGACGGTGCGGACGGTAGACCGCCAAGCGACTGGGTGTTTTTATGTATTTTTTTTTCACCGTCCAAATAGTTCTTAATGGGAAAACTAATTACGGACATCATCATCCATTCGTTTGTTAATCATTAAAAGAAGAAAAACAGACTACGCACACTGCAGCGAGCTCTGCGACTGGTGCCCGACGTGATGGAGTGGGAGAGGAGGGCGGAGGGAGAAGAGATCGCCCGGGTGCGTCTTTCTTCCCGCAGCCGTTTTTGGTCTGACGCATTATTTTTACATAATTCTTCCATTCATTACGCACGCGCTCGAGTTTCTCGGGTCCTTTCCCACCCACTCACCCACTCGTCAACCCCCTCCTCCTCAAAAAAAAACCCGACATAATCCTTAACGCCCCTGCAGACGCCTGCCGCGGTACAAAGTAAATCCTTGTCGATTCTCGTTCGTTCCAAATCTCGTCTCTTTTGTTTTCTTCCGTCTATTATTATTACCATCTGCGCAGCATTGCTGTACATAATATAATAATACTCGTATAATATAATTGCGGACGCGCGACAGTCTGTGTGTTCCTTGCAGGACGATTTCCTTTATTACCAAAAGGTCGTGACGTCCGTGGTAAATTTACTCATTTGAAATTGTAAAAATTACGGTAAGAATCACAACTCGAAACCAAATGTTCGTCCCTCTTAAAAAATTAAATCGATATGGGAAAAAAAAATGATATTATTTTCGAAAACACACGCCTAGATGAAAATCACCGTCGGATGATAAAATAATCGCCTAGTCGCGACCTCCGGGACACGAGGATTTGAACGGACGCGGTCGGATATTGGGTTTTTGGTGAGGGTCATCTCGGCGGAGGACGGGCGGCGTCGGTGGTTTAAGCTGCGGACCTACGTCGCATATAAGTATTTTCGCCATGCAGGAAATCCGAGAAACGCAATGCATAAAGGCCACACGGTTCACGAGATTTATTATTGTTACAACACACACACTCACGCCGTAAATGCCTTTCTGCCGAAATCGAACCTCATACATGACATAAACAATAAATATATATATATAATATTATTATATATTATCGTATCGCAGCCGGTCGCGTAATAATAATAATAATAAATTATGTTGCACGTGAGTGTCGCGCCGGCGGCGGCGGCAAGCTGTAGGTAGCGCGGAAAAAGGCAAATCTATTACGACGAGACGCGAAATAAATAATAATAATAAAGTGGTTGGTTTGCGTAGGTATTATATTGTAGGGGCGAGAGAATCGGATGAAATAGGAAATTCTCTTATTAAACTGTTTAAAACGGCTTATATTATATTATTGTAATAATATATTCGGCCCTGGTGCGATGCGACTATATAATCGTGCCGTTATTTAGACGGTTTTGTGGGCGATAAAATATCATATCCACGAGACGTCGAAAAGAGAAGAATAAAATGTGAAAATTATTCAAATTTCGTTCATTACTTCGACGCGTCGTCGGCCGGCTCTTATTTATTACATGGTTCTGATGTATTATTTTCCTCGTGATTACCATTATTCGACCTACTGCTCGATTTACAACTACAGTGGTTGTGGTTCTCAACCGGTGTGTCGCGACACACTAGTGTAACGCGTACTACCGCCATGTGTGTCGGCAAAACAATTGTTCGTTTATATTGTTGCTCATGTTCAAAGTGTAAATAGGTATATGACATAATTAAGGCGTTGCTATGTAATGGTAAAAAACCGCAGGTAAGAAAAACAATTGTGGAGATGGTACAACTAAATCTTTCATTGCCGTGTGTCGCCATTCTTGTCGAACTAAATTATTGAGCTGTCGTAAAAAAAAGGTTGAGCTGGTCTACATAATATTATAATACGGAGTATGGGACTATTGCTATATACTTTATTGTGGCCGAGAATATTCGGAATTACGGTAGTCGAGCATTTTATACATTATTATACACATACACGACCGTATTATCACATATATATATATATATGTACAATATTATACGGTCTGAAAAGTGCATCAATATTATCCAACTGGGAGAGTTTTCGCTGTGAATGATGGCACAAGTGGTTAACAAAAATTTGACATGTACTCCTCCTATCCGATGTTATCGAGACAATAAATCAACATAGCTTGTCTCTCTGGGCGTATACACCGGCGTCTGGTCTTGATGTGTTCCCGTTTCACGATTAACTTCCCATTCGTGACTTTTGCCCTACCCAATCGACCTAGAACTTTGAAACTTGACCGGCCCATAAACTATACATAGCAAAAACATTCTGTTCGGTTTATTATTATTATTATTATTATTATTATTATTATTAATATTTCACCCACACGCACACACACACACACACACACACACACACACACACACACACACACTCACGTACACGTGCCCCGAACGTATGTTATATTATACACCTTTTTGTTACAAACCGTGTTAACGTACAAAAGTTTTGTTTGGTCGAGGCTGCAGTTCCCTTCGGAAATTACTATCATTTAGCAATCAATACTCTCGCACGCGGTTTCATTGAAAATTAAAGTGTGGTGTATATACTTCTCGAATTTCCGGAAACTTTTTTTTCCTATATTATCAATCGTGCCGTCCAATACCGGCAAACGTCGATCTCAAGCTTGAAAATTGTGTTTATTTGTAAATGACTCGCGCTATGCGCAATAAATATTATAATAATATTATAGTCACTACAGTTTCATTAGCTGGAGTACGCCGTATATAGAGGTAATATTTATCATATGAATAGTCTCGGCTGGAAATAGCCGAGAAAACTTCATATTATGATGTTGAATTAAAAAATTACATCGAGTAGCAAACGATTCAAATCTGTTTGTTAAATTCTTTGAATCGTGTGTATCGGGGCAAAAAAAGTCGATTTAAAATTATTATGAACCATAAACACATTTCCAGTTGACTAGTTTAATTTATAAGAAGTAATTATACGAGTCATATTTATTTAGTTTACACTTATATTATTATGGTGCAGCGTAACCATATACTATTATTATAATACCATACGTATACAGATAGTATACCTATGGGTAAACTTTTTGTAATAGGCTTAAATAATATTAACCATACTATGATTATTGAGTACCTATACAAGTATTATGCGGTAATTCAATTATATCGTGTGGTACGTAGACATTTCCCGAAGCCATAGTACCTAAATACTGTAATTCGTCATGGGAACGATTGTAACAGAGCTTACTACTATGCACCCATGGAACGTATAATACACGTCATTATGTATGACGCAAAGTCAAGTCTTTATTAGATGTAACCTACAAATTCTACAGAGGTGGTAAGTATACGAAGTAGCGTTTTCGTATTCAATTTTATGTTGAATGAAGGAAATGATTTTAACCCGAACGAAAAACAAAAGAGTATGATGTTTCCTAGTATACCTAATATACGTCTTGAAAAACAATTTTTATTTTGTGATGTAATAATAATAACGACGATAAAAATGATATATATTTAGCAGCAAATCACAAATCGTTCACCGATCGACTAAAATCTTCAGAAATATAACACACGCACCAAGATGAACATTTTTTAAATGTGGCAATATATTGGTATGTGATATTTTTATAACTTTGAAATGTAAAATGATTAGCATGATGGTCACACAAGTCTATCCACCATGAGATGGGCAAATGAGATGAGAATAACTCCAAAAGTGGATTAAACAATATTATTTTTTAATGTATTTTAAGCCAATAGTTGTTAACGGCACAGTGGATTTAGTTGAAGAACATTGATAATATTATACTTTCGCATCAAAACAAACACTCAAAAGCATTAATTGTGTTTGAATAAATATCTGAGAGTGAAATTGGAACAAAACACCGAAATACGAATGTCAAAGGTGTTTTCGTTTTGAGTTGTTATTCTCATTTCTTTAATTATTGTATTGTTCCAAGTATTGTTCCATGCTTTAAAATAACAATCGAAAGCAGTTGTACTCTTAATCAAATTTTCATCAGTATTTTTGTTAGTAAACTCAGTTAACAACAACAATCTAAAAGTATATTTTTTTCGTAAAAGAGCCAATCAACGAAAACAGTAAGCCGTGTCGCATTTACTTTTAAAACATAATATTGTGTAATAATTATAGTAAAACGCAAACGAACATCAATTCAGTGTGTTTATCAAATCGTGTAAGACGGCGTCATGTACAAGCAAAATAAGTAAAAATTACTCAATTATTAGTTTTGGTCATCGTAAACTCCGTGTTTTGGAGTCCTAGACATTTTCATATTATCTAAAATCGCATCGACGACGACCATATAATTATTGTTACGAAACATTATAATCAGCACGACGACATGGTATTATCTAATATTATGATGTACACGT